CAAGTCTGATGCCCACTAAAAACCATCTAAAGAGGCAATGTAATTGACCAATGGATTGTTATCTTACTTCATTCATGGAGTCCACAAGTGGGATCAGATGAGAAACTGAAGGTGGTGTTCCACTCTCTATCCGTGCAAGAATGCAATCTTGCATTCAATACATTAATTACTCAGTAAAAAAAGCTTATTGGTGCTTGCCGAACGGTTTGAGGCATCAGATATGGGAAGGAGATCTCACCAGATGAGGAGGTCCTGCCGAAGGAGGGGATCCCACGGGTCTCCGCGCCTTGATCCGCCAGAAGGAGCCGCCATTGCCGCTGATGGATCAGGACGTCGGTGACAAGGCGGCGGTAGCGCGCTCACCGTGTGTCGGAGCGGACAGATCGCGCGCGATGGGGAAGGTGCTGGCGCGCGGAGGGCCCTGGCTCGAGGAGATCCAGGTGATGCTGCCGGCGCTTGAGATCGAGGAGATCGAGGAGATCCGGAGTTCGGCGGCGGCGGGATTCAAACCGCCCTGCCTTGCAGAGGCGGCGGCGGCGTCGTGTCCCCCTCGGACGGCGGCGGTGGCGTCGTGTCCCCCTCGGACGGCGGCGTCGGGGGTCGATGGGATCGATGGGAGGGGGCAACGAAGGATGGGGTCCATGGGGTTTTTTTTTGCTGGTCATTTGTTTTTTTGTGGTTGCGTGGGATGGGATGCGGTGGGTGAAGAGACGGAAAAAAAACAGCGAAAGTGGCGGGACGAAATAAAACCAGCGAAAAAAAACCGGAAGACTATTCACCAACTGCTATATTAGGAGTAGAGATTAGGAGTAGAGATTTTCATGAATTATACTCTTTAATACATAAATGTCGTGAATCAACCTGCGATTGAATGGATAGGAGGATAGTGATATCCCAGCCAATCATGGTTTAAATTCTACACTTAACACCGGTGTTTACATTTTTCTGAAATTATTTCGTCTTCGGCGATGTACCTTAAGTGTAAGCAGACGCTCTACGGGCCTTCCAGCGATGTGATACATAATGTTATTTACACATCACAACTCACAAGGGTGAAACTGGAAGCAATCGGTGGTGTCCTTCATGGCGGCGTCTCAGAGTTGATGGATCGTATATTTGCCGATCCTTCAGATCGGCGGCGTTAGGGTTCATGGATGGTATCGGCGAGGCGGCGACGGCGACTCCATCAGGTGTGTCTCTCCTTCTGCTCTATCCCCGTTGTTGCGGCATTGTCTCCGACGTCATGATGGAGCAGGGAGGTTTTGTCATCCAGAAGTACGTGCAGACGGTTGTCTACGCAAGTGACGATTGGAAAATGGTGCATCTTGTGCCGAGTTTGTGGTTGGAGGCTGACAGTTCTGGTTTCCTCCTCCGACGTCGTAGTCGTGCAGGGGGGGGGGGTCAGTTCTGAAATTCGATGGCGTGTACGGCATTGATTTTGCTTCAGGAAACTATTTTTGAGTTCCGTAAAGCTGCTGATCAGCGATAGAGCCGCGTTAAGCTCGAATGAAGAGGTGATATGTCTCCTTTTCCTTAGTTAAAGAGGGACATGCGCTGGTTTTTTTTATAGTATTATTCTATCTTTTCAGTTTTGTAATGTCGATATTTACGTGACTTATAAGTGAATCTTTATTTTACTAATGAGACATGTATTACTAAAAAAAACTGGAAGCAACGTAGTACAGCTAACCGTGAATCGCGGCGGCAGGACAAACAACCTATACGCTTTGAGGTCAACACGCGCACCCAAGACGGGCAGAGCCAAAACCCACGTTTCCCAGGGTCGGCGGAGCCCTTGGAGCCCCCGCCGTCGCCGTCGAGCAACAAGTAGGGCCAGTGACGAAGTCACACTTAAGTTGGGTAGTCAATTGTCTACATAACTTTTGTTAAAAGCTACATACATCAAGTAAAACTTATGCCAAAAAATATTATAAATGCATACATCTGACTACACAATATTCAATTGACCACACATGATGGGATTCATGGCACCGCCACTGAGTAGGGCACCGATGCTCCGGGATTATGTACCGAGTACAAGCACGCGACAGTGGGTTTCGGTCGATCGATCTCCTCACCGGCCGTTTTGGGGTGTTTGCGTCGGTGTAATGTATGGTATACTACTTCCTCCGTCCGGAAAAATACTTGTCATCAAAATGGATAAAAAGAAATGTATCCGAAAAAATACTTGTCATCAAAATGAATAAAAAGGGACGGAGGGAGTACAAGGAAGAACTAGCGGCCATACGCAAGAACTCTTTCGCTAGTGTATAGTAATTCAACAAGTACGTTTTGAAAGAAAAAAAGTAGTAAATCACTAAGTTGCGGTGTTCCATATGGTCATTCGTTTGTTTAGAAAAGAAGGATCACCCGCGGGCCTTCGCATCATTGCGATGCACACGGCCGGCATCTATATGTGACATGTTTGAGGGTGCGATTAACACGGTTCCTTCTCTGCGGAGCGGTAATGCTAGACTTACAGATGCTTTTTCATACTAAATCTATGGCTACTGTTTCCTTGCATCCCTTTAAAAAAAACTGCAAAACAATTACCCATAAATTTCTTCCGTAATAATAGCATTACTCCTCCCCGGGAAAAATGAAAAGAAATAGCATCGAAGCGTAAGGCTCCCCGATGTGACGTCCCTGATTCAATTGTATACTAATCATACATGCAAATATGTACGATCAAGTTCAGGGACTCACAGAAAGATAACACAAGTCATACAAGCTTTATATTACAAGACAGGGCCTCGAGGGCTCGAATACATACGAGTCAGCAGAAACAACAATACTCCCTCCTTCCATGTATATAGGGCCTAATGTGTTTTTCGAGGCTAACTTTGACCACATATTAGAGCAATAATATGTGACATGCAAGTTACACAAAGCACATCATCAAATTCGTATGTGGAAGGAGCTTCTAGTGATATAATTTTCACATTATACGTCTCATATATTATTAATCTTATCAAAAGTCAACGGCAACCTCGAAAAATGTATTAGGCCCTATATATATGAAAGGAGGGAGTATCTAAGTACAGGTATAAGTTAAACAAGTTTGCCTTAAGAAGGCTAGCACAAAAATACCAACGATCGAAAAGGCAAGGCCTCCTGCTTGGGAGCCTCCTAACTACTCCTGGTCGTCGGCGGTCTCCACGTAGTAGTAGGCACCCTCGGGGTAGTAGTAGTCGTCGGTGGTGGCGTCTGGCTCATGGGATCCGTCATCTGATCGCAACAATCGATATAGGGGAAAAGAGGGAAGCAAAGCAACCGTAAGTACTCATCCAAAGTACTCGCAAGACTTACATCAGATCTAAACTAAGTATGCATCAGTATCAAAGGAATGTGTTGTATCTGTGGACTGAACTGCAGAATGCCAGAATAGAGGGGAAGGCCTAGCCTATCAAAGACTAGCATCTTGAAGTATCTTGCAGCATTAAAAGAGTACAGATTAGCATATTATAAATTAGTAGTTTGTTGTAGTAACCACGCCCAGAGACCCTTTCTCGACTTCATGTGAGAAAGCAATCCTGGAGCTATCATATCCATTACATGCCTCAACATCCAGTTCTAGTTGTGTCGATCAGGATACAACTCCGAGCGTCTGTTACCGTGGACACGGCTATTCGAATAGATTAAACTTCCCAGCAGGGGTGCACAAACTTACCCAACACGTTCAATCAACTCCGGCCGGACACACCATCGGGTCATGACCGGCCTCAGCCAATCAACACACCGCGGTCCTACCTAGGCTCAACAGAGAGGCTAGCACGCCGGTCTACATCCTAAGCACGCAAGGGTTTTGGATGGTTGGACGAAGGGGTGGTGGGAAGAAATGTGAAATGGGAACCATACGTTCTTTTTAAGTTGTAGAGATAATATAATATAATAATAGAGATTTTTTTTATGATTTTACTGTTCATCATGAGCTCAAATGAGCTCAGCATCAGAACATGCCTTTTGGAGTTTGTGCTTTTTCATCCCCTAACAAAATTTACTTAGGAATATTTTGTGTGTGAGCCTATTCAATCACTAAATCCTAACTATGCATCTACATGTCATGTATGCCTAGTTGCATTTTTCTAGAATACCCTATAACCTTTCATGAATCTCCATACTCTTCTGCCATGCTATTCCCAAATATCCTAGCTAAATCTTCAAAATTCTCCCGTGTTTATGCCGATGATTCACGTGTCATAAATTTCATTTTTCCATAGTTGAAGCGCCCAGGTGGACG